ACTCCTCCAGAAGCCTTCCCTCCTGCCCCATTCCCATTCCTGTCTCTTTGGATCCCAGGATTCAGACAGGGTATGTCTCTCTCAGGACCCTGAGTATCTTGGGGTGTCTCAGCTGTTCCTTGCCTGTCCCCATCAATAGGCCACGAGCGCCCGAGGGGCTGGGGCTACATCAGATTAAACTCTTTCTATCTATGGCCTTGGTTCCTAGGGTCCAGTTTTGGGGGTCGCCTTCCTTGCCCACCTCCCTGTCCCTTCAGGCCTGTTCCCTGCAAGGTGTCAGCAGGAGACAAGGAATGAATCCACACACGGTCCCTGCTGCTGCGTCATCCCCCCAGGTACTCACTGCCTCTGACCCACTTACTGCGCACGTGACTTCAGAGGTGCGGTGGGGAGTGATGGAACCTGCACGGGCCTTGGGGCTCAGCAGCCTTGGCCTTGACCCTAATGTGCACCACTTTTCAGCTGGGTGACCTTGAGCAAGTCACACTGCTTCTCTGGGCCTCGGCTTCCACATCCAGATGATGAAGAAAATAATGACAACAGCAGCAGCAGCTGCGAACATTCAAATTGTTCTTACTACGTGTCAGGCTCCGTTCTAAGGATGACCTCCCTCCCTCCCTGCTCCACGAGGTGGGCATTATTATTACCCCCTCTTAGGGGTGAGGGGAGTGAGGCACAGAGACTCACCTGACCAAGGTCATACAGCTAGTGCTGGGGGGGCTCCCAAGTCAGGAAGCGGGAGCACCTCTGGCCCCTCAGTATCCAGGCGAGGAAAGTGAGGCCTGGAAGAGGGCAGAGCCTGGCTCCTGTGGACAGCGGACTGGTGCCGGCACTGGTCCAGGTGCTCACATGCATCACCCCCTTAGTCCTCACAGCAGTCTAGGCAGAAGGGACCTTTCTTTGGGGGGCACTGAGGCCGGAGGCATTCGTCTGGCATCAGTGGGACCTTCCCCCAAGTTTTACCTCCACCATCGTCACTGCCTCTGCTCTACGGAGCAGCTGTGAGCTGCCTGGCCCAGGCAGTGGGGCTGCTGGCCGCACCGGTGTAGTTGGCACTGCATCTGTCCACTCTCAAGCTGACTGTGCTGCCCCGGGGCCCACATGACTGGCACCTCAATGCATGTCCTCGCCGGCCCCAAGGGAAGCCCTCGGCTTCCATCTGTGCCTGCTGAAGGCAGGAGGGTGTCAGCCCCTTCTTCCTGGCAGCAGTCTGGGCTCTGACCACAAAGCTCTGGCCCTATGGGCTGGGCCTTCCTCCACCCGCGGGGAGGGCCACAGAGTCGGGCTAGGGTTTCCCAAGCCAGAGGCAAGATGGAACCACTACCACTTCCTGTTGGCAGGTGGCTCGAGCTGGGTGCCCCATGAAAACTACACCGGATGCATAACCCCACTCAGGCCTACTTTCCATCCCCTGCCCCCTCGTGCACACACAGTGCAGCTTGGCAAAACATCACCAAGTCCTCACAAGTATCCTGAGAAGGAGGGCGACACACTTCCTATTTCCTAAAAACAGCTTGAGCAGCCCTGGC